TAACTTAATATATGCAATATGTATATATATATATGTAATATACATATATATTATTTATAAATATTATATATACATTATTTCATTTTTTAAATAACTTAATATCTATAATTATATATATACATATATATATATATATGAATATATATATATATACCTATAGCATCAGCTGATTTTCTCAGTAACTAGAAGAGTCTGGGTTGCAACCGGAACCGCTACGTTCTTCATTTATTTTGGATCAAAACCAGAATCAATCTGACCCGCTGCGAAGCAGCTTGCCATTATGATTTTGTTGGATGATACGATATCATCTGAAGATGCAATGCCGATTGTTGACATTGCAAATGTAGCCAATTCCTTTGATGCCCCAATGATAGCACTGGAAGAGGAAATTGGCACCCACCTCAACCCTCCAATGCTGCATGATTTGCAAAACCATGATGAGATTGATATCGCACCATTGCCACAACCATGTGTTCAGCTTCCACCAGTGCGAAAATCATTTCGGAAATCTTCCATTACTCCGAAGCGGCAGAAGAGATGCTCCAAAAAGGATCCAAAGCCGATTGCATTGAAGCGGCCGTGTGATGTGGACTGCGAATTTCGATCATACTGTGCCACAGCTGGTATCTTGCCAGTGGATTTGTTCACTGACTATGCAGTTTTTTTTTTTAACCCAGACACTTTCTACAGTGGTTTTCGCACGGCATGTGCTTACAGTAAATCTTTTTTTTTAAAGGGGTGATTGAAGAAGTTAGCTGAATCTTGAGCTCATTCACATCATTGACCGCATGTTTTTGATTCTTCGATTAATTCAATCAACACCAGCTTCAGCCGAGGAAAAGTTCTATTGGAAATATTTTGTGGTGCAGCAACTATTGTGGCAGCAGCTGAAGCTGCAGGTGACCTTATTCTGTTTTAATCTCTTTTACATGTTTGTTTCCATCGTTGATATTGCTTTGCACATCGTTCCACATCATTCATTCCTTTCAAAGGTTGGGGTGCCTATGGCCTGGATATCCTTACTGGTGTAGATCTCACTTCCGATGAGATGTGTCAATATATTTGCCGCTGGATACAGGATGCACTGGTCCTTGCAGTGCTTTGACTTTGCATCATTTTTTTTACGTTATGGCCAACAAGGAAACCATTGCAATAAACCCTTTAGTATAGGAAATTCCTATATGGAGTGGAGGGACATTCCTCGGATAAGCGTTTTTTTAAAATATAATGCGCATGTCATGCTTTCCCATTTTGTATTCCCATTTAAGAAGTTCATGGTCGCCCTGATTGAAGGATCCATTTTTTTGGTATGTTTTGGTGATGTTTTCTCGATTTTGGTGGTCAGGTCAGGGGAAAATTGGACCTCATAGGACCCAGCTCTGACCCCTATGGGGCCAATGTTTGGCAAAAAAAACGTGTTCATTTATGCCTTAAATCAGCGCCCAAAAGAACACGCTTTTTTTTGGGTCATGTCCGGGCCATGTTGGTAGAACATTGTGTATTTTTAAAACGGACTCTTTTACGCCCTCAATTTTTTGGGGCGCCATCTTTTTTGGTTTTATTAAGTTAAGTTTGATTTATTTATTTATTATATAGTGGTATGACGTGGCATGTTGGGATTTCTTTGGTGTTTTGACTTAAATTTTGGATTTCATTAGTGGTCCAGTGCCTTGAGGCAACGTCATTAGATTCCTATGTGCAATTGATTAGATGGAAACAAAACTGTTGAATGAATTTGTTGCTGTTTGTGGCTAGGTTGATCCAGGTTGCACCGATGTAAAAGAAAGCATTGCGTATGAGCGATAAATACTAATATAAAAAACAGTCTGAGCCACTATAAAATGGGAACCCATTGCATTAATAAACAAGAAGCGGTTTTCCAGAATATATGGTCATATACTAGATTGGGAACTCATGATATTGGACATGAGCATCACATTAACATCACTATACTTATAAAGTGCTGATCTGACCCACTAAAAAAAACACATAAAATGGTGGATTAGCCCTCAAACTAAGAGATTAAAAACCCATGACATCAAGAAACCATAGGCTTAAGGTTTGTTAAGGGGACCCAGACATTTGCTCTATTATTTGCTCTATAAGAGAGGTTGGCTGTTGAGACTCACGGATAACAGAGCGAATCCATTGATGAACCGAAAGGTGGTTAGAGTTGTGTTGTCTGGAGTGGTTGCATTACAATTCTTGCAGTGGTCACCTCACCACAACTGCTGGATTCAGTGTGGTGCGGTGCAGTTGTAGTTGTAGGTGTAGTTGTAGTTGTGGTGTAATTAGTGTAGTGTATTGTAGTGTTGTGTACTGTAGCGTGGTATAGTGTAGTGTAGTCAAGTGTATTGTAGTATAAGTAATGTTGTTTGTTGTTCTTGTTCTTGCTGTTGTTGTTGTTGTTGATGTTGTGTAGTGTCGTGTAGTGCAATGTAGTGGTGATTGCAGTTGTAGCGTAATGCAATGTAAATTAGTGTAGTGTTGCGTAATGTAGTGTAGTTGCAGTGTCGTTGTATTTGTATTTGTTCCTGTAAATTATTAAATATTATAAATAAAGTATTGTAAGTAGTAGTGTAATGAAGTGTAGCTGTAATTGTAATCTTAGCTGTTAGTAATTAGTAGTAGTAGTAGTAGTAGTAGTAGTAGTAGTAGTAGTAGTAGTAGTAGTAGTAGTGGTAGTGTAATGGTACTTGTAGCCTACTTTTCGACCCTCTGGAGCCTTAAATCATTGGAAAGACTTTCCTACCTTTTCCGCACACCTGGATCTTCTTTCTCGGCTCTTTCTCTTTCTTCTTCTCTTCTCATCTCTTCAAGACTCTTCCCATCTCTGCTCTCCATCTATTGTCGGACACATCTAAATTTCCTTCGATTAAGATAAAGTAAAGATTGGTTTTCCTATTTTATAGGGGGCTCTGTCCGGCGGGAATCATAGATCACTGTTTTTATCTAGTCTAGATCTATACGATGGGGACCTATGACACTTACATATTTTTGGCACCTACTGCCCATGGCCGATTCCCTGTTTCAAGGTATGGCTGGGAACTCCTTGTGATTCATGGTCTACTGCTCGGAGAGGGAAGCGGACTCGGCAAAATCCGCGCGGGTGGCCAGCCAGAGTTCGATCACTGGGCGCACAAATTTGGGGACTTCCTCTGGACAACCTGACGGACAGAGATGTTCAAAGGTAACGTTTTGCTTCTTCCCCTGGAATCTAACAGTTTCATTCGCGATCAATTAAAATTTAAGTGGTTAGCTCAAATATCTTGAATTTTCATTTCACATTACAGTCAAAGATTATGATGTGGTGTTTCCCCTTGTCAGGATGGTGATCGCAAGACCCTTTTGAATGGGAACCGAACTTTGCAGCAATCTTTGATCATCATCAAAATGTGCTTGAGTATGTCCGTGCCTTGTGGGTTGGAAAATCCACTTCGGAGCATGATGTGGTCCGTTCCAGATTTAATATGTTTGACTAAACTTCCGTGCTGGCAACAGCTTGTTTGTGATTTTTGTTGTTTTGGGACGAAGTGGCAAAAGCCAACCCGCTGTTGGCTCTGGCATGCACGGCCACTGCCATTCGATGTCCAAGCTATGAAGTGCAATCTCAAATTCATGAATGGTGAACGTGTTTGCAAATTCACCGGTGAAAAGCATGTTCAACTCAGTGGGGCAGCGAAATCAGGCGGCTTCAGAACGAAGCAAGCTGAAGAATACCCCAATGCTTTTGCACAGTTGGCAGTGCAGCTGCTGTCCAAGTGAAAAAAATGATCGGGTCCCATGGTGGAGTTGGCATTATTTGAGTCAACAATGAATCCTTTACGATCAAGTATGAATCACACAAAAATGCACACATTCATGTATAGCATCATTTGTAACATATGTTATTGTTTATGCATGTTAAGACCAGGGCATGCAACATGTAGAAGTTTTGTTTTACACGATGATGGCAAGACAGCAAGATGAAGGGTGACACCAAAGGGGTCAGCGTTTTCAATTACCAGAATTTGTCCGTATAATTTTTCTAAAGAATTCTAAATAAATATCTAATATGATATTATTTATTTATGAAAGATAATTTGATGATTCATCACGTCAGGTTGTGCATTGCACAAGGTCACCATGATGTTCATTCGGGATTTAATGAAATGCCAGCGTAAAAACATAGAGATTGCACAGGCGGCCCTGATTAGATTCTGATGGATTTGATTCATTCCCATCTGTTTTGGTTGACACGGGGATTGATCCACAGCATCAGTCAGAACCAAGGACATCGAGGATGGCAAGCCGACGTGCCTTGATCCCACTTGATTGTTCCTCCATTTTTTTTGAATTGCTCATTGCTCATTTGTTTTTTTGGCGTCACTGAATGCCAAAAAACACTTGCAAATTTCTTTTCCGGGTTTGCTGGAAACGACACTCACAAGGAGCAAAAATGGATTCGAGGAGGACATCTTGCACCCACTTCGGAGCGTTTCCCAGTGGCAGTCTTCGATCGTGAAACAATTTGGGGCAACTGCCAGCGAATCTCCAGCGTTCACCAGACTGGTAGATTTCCTGATGACGAAGGGTGGCCTTGTCAAGGTGAAGTGCTGCATGGCCAACAAGACCAGATTACATGGGTCTTCAGACCGGGATGTGGGCATCCAGGATCGGTGTCCAAAGGGGGTAACTAATAAGAGGCACCCATTAATTCGTAAAGTCTCAGTAACAGATAATGGGGTATTCGTAAGCATTGTTAGATTCTTGCATGGTTTTCGCATGTTTTGACCACATGTGCAATTTGCCAACAAGATTCCCTGGGTTTGGGTTTGGAAATCATGTTTCCTGGTATGCCATCTCCATGAACCCGAAGGGCTGTCTATTGTGTATTATTGTGACGTGATCTAGTTTAGTTGTACCACATTAGCTACATTTATATTGATTATTGGGCACTGTGACCCTGAGCCCAAATTATTATTTACGATGATGAAGTGTTGCATGGGAGTCCTTGTTGAATGCAGGAATGCCATGAGCTTGTGAAGCAACTGAGTGCCAAGAAAGCTGGGGGGGCTGAAGCACAAGGCAACACTTCGAGCAACCAAGATGGACCAGAAGAGCAGCAGAAGGAGAGCGATGACATGGATGGTGCCATGGACATGTTGGCAACTGGTGGAGATGGCCTGGCCGTGGAGGATCCGGACACTGTGGCTGCCAAATCATATGCCTTGTCGGAATTTGATCATGTGCATCCATTCAGCAGCGCCACTGAGCTGAAAGCAGCGCTCAGCAGAGATGTGCCTTGCCCAACTGGACATGGAGGTTGTTTGTCAGGTGTCCAATTTGTTTTCACTGCCACATCTTGTTTGAACACCTACCTACTCCATAGTTTGAGTACATTGAGATGAAAAAACATATTTTGATTCAGATTTTGCTGCCTTTGGCAAACTCATCCAAATCGCACATTCCATCAGAACACCTTTTTGTGCTACATTAATTAATCTAAATTATCCATGTTGAATTCCACAAATGGTCTTGAGGTGCTGGTGGGCCACAAGATGGCAGTGATCATCGATGCTGGGACGAGCAGGCTGAAGGTGAACTCCGGGTACATAGATGTTTGCAAGGAGGTCTTGACAGAGTGCAACTTGTCAAAGTATGCCATCGGCATTGTTCTCGGGCCGAGGCTGGATTTGATGGATGCCCTTATGAAAAGATGCCAACAGACCTTCAAGAATGGTCGGACTGTCTTGATACAGCTCACGGCTGGGGCAACACAGAGACTTGGAAAGTCGCTGCCATCCTTCCTGATCTTGGTTCACAGCGACACCAACATTCCCCTCCCGTATTCGGCGGAGTTGTTGAAGTACAGATCTGATTCTTTGGAGCAGCCACGACTTCGGTGCATGACGAAGAGCTGCTGCTTCAGGTCAACGACTGAGAAAGCCCTTTTGATCAGCATCTTGCCTTTGGACTCAGTACTTAATGTTTCGTCCTGATTAGTGTGTACCCCCCTCCCCTCAACAATAGCTAAGCTCTTTAAATTAAAGTTGGGTGCAACAAAGCGGATCCCCAGGAAAAAAAATCTGCACAAGTGAAATATCTAATTAGTTTTAAACTTTTTTTTGCCAATGAACTTGTGATACTTGTACTACAATATTGTAGTATGTGTAGTGAGTGGGTTTCAGCATGTTGATTGCGTTATCTTTTCCACCTGAAGTTGTTTTCTTGATTTAATGAATGAAACATGCAAAAAGAGAAAGAAAACTAGTAAGAAAAGAGAAAGGGAACCAGAGAAAGAGAAAGAGAGAGAGAGAGAGGAAGAGGACGAGGAAGGGGTAGAGGAAGGGGAAAGAACAGAGAGAGAAAAACAGAAAGAGAGGAACGTGGAGAGAGTAAGAGCAATAGAAAGAAAATTAAAGGACCGGATAACCCCACAAGGCAACTTCTTCCAATAATGAGCACCACATGTTGTAGCGGGGCGGGAAAGAAGGAAGGACAAAGGATGTGGTGGAGGACCGGCAAGTAAAACAAAGTTGTGTGTGTGCACGACAAAGTTGTATGTGAAAGATTGTGTGTGACGAAGAAAGATGTTGTGTGTGACAAAGTTGTGTGTGAAAGATGGTGTGTATGAAAATTGTGTGTGAAAGAGAGCATGTGACAAAGTTGTGTGTGTGTGAAAGATGGTGTGTGAAAGAGGGTGTATCAAAGATGGTGGTGTGTGTGTGTGTGACAAAGTGGTGCCAACCACCAGAGCCGGAGCCGGCCCAGTGCTGCAAGTGCCACGCCTGCCATGCAAACCGAAGGTACAAAGATGTGCGTGAGAGATGGTGTGTGTAAAAGATGGTGTGTGAAATGGTGGTTGATAAAGATGATTGTGAGCGATGGTGTGTGAGAGATTGTTGGTTGACAAAGCTGGTTGACAAAGATGGTGTGTGGAAGGAAGATGTGTGTGAAGAGGAGGCGGCGGGAGGCAGGCGGGGAGGAGAAGAGCCCGCCATACTGAATTAAAAACAAAAACCCCACACACACAAAGATGTGGGGAAAAACAGAAAAAGAGAAAGAACATGTTGCTTTTGTAAACTGCGTTTCTTCTTTACTTGGCTCCAGGATCAGCTCTGGAGAAGTTTGCTGTAATTGTGAACCCTGAGAACAAACCTGACCCTCTCATGGCGCAGTATGTTGGAAATGTGTGGAAAAAACTGTTTTAACAAGGGCTTAAATAAGCGATCTATTTCTTTTGGTACTTGCAGGCAAGCATGATTTTTTTTCTGGAAAAAATGTTATGTTTTCACTCAATATAATATATTTTTGGTTTAAACACAATGGTCTGCCAAAAATACCTGCCACAATAGTGAACCTTCCAACCATTGCTGGGGTCTTGCACAATAGCGAACCTAGCTAATAATCAGGATACAACATTATTCTCTTTGATCCTCAAGAATCCACATTGACTTGAATTTTGGATGTTGGTTCACAGTTATATGAGGTGCATGAGTAACTACATGTCTCAATCCAAATTATCATCATGACTTCAACACTCTTGACTTGGATCCATGCCTGATGCTGGTTTGATTTCTCAACACCCATTGCATATAATTATCATTGCATTGCATTTTCCCTGGTCTCTTCCCTTGCCTTGCATTCAGTCATTGAGGTGAGGATGGCCAGTCACATGATACTGCACAGGAGCTGAACAAGAGTGACTGTGAGGATGACCAATGGGGCATCTTCAATGATGCTGAGGGCGGTGAGGAAGATGGGATGGACTGCGATCTGATGGCGGATGATGCCAATGCAGCCCGAGATTTCTTGATCGATCTTTGGCCATATGCCAGACCAGCACGTTTCTTGTCATCAAAAGTTGATTCTTTGTTTTTATTTTTCACACGTGTTTCTGATTTCGGTTTGTCAATTAATAACCCACTGGTGTTCTGTCATGTGGTGATTCCTTCAATCACTGTTGAAATTCCACAGTCAGGCTTCTACCAGAGCCTTTTGACGGATGTCATGCAGGTTGCAGGCCTCCAACAGCTGATGATTCTCAGCACATCTGGTCATCCCGCTGCTGTGATCGCTGGCAGGAAAGTTCAGGCAGAATCTTGGTGTGAATTGGGCCACCTTTTGGGAACTGATCATTAGTCATGCCAGTAAGCAATCATCAGTGATGCAATGGAACACAACAGAACCTTGTTTTATTTTCATTTTCTAATGCATGGTGTCAGGGATACTTTGCATAGCACAGAGTCATGCTACTCAGGAAGTCTATTGGTTGCACGATCGGGTGAAGAATCACAGCTTCCTCCATGGAAAGGATGTGGCCATCAAGTACTGGATGCATCAGAAGTTGAAGGCGATCGCGGCCTTGAATCCTGACAGACCCAAGCGCCTTTCTGAACGTGACTTGTGCTTCATCTCCATCGAGTGCAATCCAGATGACCAGAAGATTGCTGAGTGGTTCGATGTTCCAGTGGATTCGGCCAACCCATGGGCATGCGTTCCTTCATTCAATGTCAGATCATGTCCAGTGAACTTTTTTGATTACCCAGAATTATCCCTTTGTTACCTAAATTTCATTCAGGGTGTGCAATGTTTCGCTCTTTTGCTGATGTTCTGAGCAGTTAGGTTGACAGTGTGCCACAACAGCTTGCTCAGAAGATTCCGGCCCTTTTGGACTCCGACCTCGAGAAGAACAACCTGGTGCTGTCATCCAGTTGTGATGGGAAGGGCTTGTTTACCCAGAAGTCCATTCCGGAGGGTGAGGTGATCTTGGGAGCAACAGTTTTGTTGTTCACGGAGAAGGCCAAGATGATGGAGGTCATCAGGCTTCATGAAGAACATCAAGATGCTTGCATCAAGATCACTGGAATCATGATGGAAGGGAAGCCGACGACGCTGCTACTTAGCTTGATTGATTCAATGATATTCAATGAATTGGCACCCCAAAGTATTGAGTTTATAAGCAAATTGTTTATTAACAACCACAGCTATTATATTTCAGCTATTCTGTCTGATGCATTTTTTGAGTGAAATGGGAGGCTTCCGGTTTTTGGTGGCTCCAACACCAACCAGGTTTGGCATCCTGCTTGGAGCTGCGAGATATGTCAATGACTATGTGGGGTTGAAGCGGGGTCCCAACGCCCAATGGCGCATCAACTACCAGTTGGGGCCGAACCCCGGAGCTCTGCAGTTGGTTTGCTCAACTCGTACCGGTTGTGGCATTGCCTCAAGGCACACATCAATCAAATTCACAAAAAAGAGTCGTGTTTTAATTTAATTTAATGTTTTGTGCATGTCAATTTAAACAGCCGTATTTTTTTTCGGTTACCTGCAGGTCCGAGATCGTCATTGCGTATGGGGCCCTGTATGACCACTCATCGAAGAGGCCAAAGATCACTCAGTTCTTCGCTGGCAAAGCTCCCCCCGCTGATGGCAAAGCTGCTCCTCCTCCAATGGCTGGTGGTGCGGATGGCAAGGCTGGTGCACCCAATCCTCCAGCTTCCAAAGCAGTTCCGGCAGTGCCTCCTCCTGTTGCTGCTCCGACTCCGAAGGCTGGCAGCACTGATGATGCCACGGCAGTTCCGAAGGCCGCGGCAGCCCCGAAGGCCATTGCAGCCACCACGGCCGTCCCGAAGGCCGTGGCAGCCACGGCAACTCCCAAGGCCTCAAGCAACCTTCCTGGGATGCAATTCGTTGCTGAGGTGAGTGACCCGCCAGTTAAGCTGATGCTTGGTGGTGACGGTATCCTTGCACTCCAGAGCATGTCTCAGGAGAACCGGAAGCTCAAAAAGATGAGCATCTTGCTGTCAAATGTCAGCGGAAAATTGGTCCGTTCTGCAGGTGGTGCAGTGCCTCCAAATAGCATTCGCTATTCAGTGCAGTCGAACTCACCCTGTGTGGACCACCTGACAAGCGAAGCCTCGACGGTCAAGGACTTGTGCAAGAAGTTCGGCATCAATAAGATCCACGGCTACCAGCCATTTCCGACTGGAATTCCTCAGAAGTTGGTAGAGACTTCGGATCTTTGGATTTTGCATCATCAAACCATTTGCTGTTTTTTAGTTTTAAACCCAGCGAAATCAGTCTTGGTTACTTTTATTTATTTATTATGATATTCAATCATCATATATTATATTCAATAAGTAGGTTGTATATAATAGTATTATATATATATAATTAATGTCAACCCTGGATTAATAAACCCCTAGGCTGTTTAATTGGGATCATTTAAGTATCAGAGTAAGACTATTGGAGGAATACCGCCTAATTAGTAAACCATGGTTTATTAATCCGGGGTTTACATTATACCCCTTACCATTTCCACTAACAGGATTTTGCAGTCACCTGACCATCTTGTAGTGGCTTGTCATTTTTCTAACTTAGCATTTGAAAATCAGAACTGTATTTTGTAGTGACTTATATTAGGATGCTCACATTGGCTATTGATCCACCATCAAAAACACCAAAGCATTTTGTAGCAAGGCGGTAGGTCCAGGTAAGTAAAGGCAGCATTTTGTAGTATAAGGCTGTGTGTGTAAATTGTTTACTTGGTACAACTACCCTCCAGAATGCATAGAGGTATATATATATATATATTATATATATAATTAGGTGTCATTTTCGTCCCATTTCTTTGGCAGCCTTGTCTCTGAGGAGCTTTACCTTGCCGGACAGTCAGATCTGATCTCCCAGGTGACGGTGGCATTGGAAGCGGTGCCTCATATGGGATGGGTTTGGAGCTTCATGAAGGAAGGGGGCAAGATGCGTCCAACAGGCGCATGGCTGTCCTGGGTTACGGTGTTTTGGGCGTTGTTGTTGTTCGCATCTATGGTTCCGTCATTTTAAGAAAACTAATTATAATCTAATCTAAACAAGTCATTTGCATTCCAAACATAGTTGGAAAGCAATTGCCATCACGATTCTTTGGTCAGTTTTTATTTTTGAAGAAAACCAGTTTCTCAGATCATACGGTGCTTTTTGTGGTGAGGTGTGGTCCTCA